CGTGGGTGTGGAGGAAGGGGCTGTGCCACCCAGTGGATCTGAGGAAGCCTGCTGTGGCAGTGGGAGTGACTCTGAAGGGAGAATCTGGAAGCAGAGGTGAGGGACTTGTTCATCTTTAGTTTCTGAAGTTCAGTATATTTATGTATGCCGTTCCTATTGAAATCCTTTTCTTAGAATTCTTTAGAACTAGGCCAAAGGACCTAATTGTACCTTTGTTCTGCAGTTCAGTTAGCAAAGAGCTGGGGTCCTTTGTTCTTTAACCTGCTGTTCAGAGCAAAGGATCCAAATGTTTGGGCTTTGAGTAAAATCCACTACATAAATTTTATAGCACTTGTTCTCCATCTACTAATCACAAGCTAATTTTAGCATGTGGAGAGATCATCTCCAGCTTATCCGAGAATGCCTGGTGATAAATGATGTTGGCTTCTGCTTTTATCTTCAAGTTTGTCTTTTCCTTCAAAGAGTAGTTTTAAAAAAATCTCACAGGAAGGCTGTGATCGCCCTTGTTGACTCCAGTTCAAACTTTTATCCAGAATTCACTATGTATTGGTGTGCTCAATTTTGTGCTAATTTGCAATTTATTCTGTGATTTTTGTAAACATATTTTTGTTTTCTCTGTAGAGTAGGACAATACCTACCTACCCCTCAGGCGTTTTGTGAGGACAGAAATACTGTGTAGTGCCACACGCAGTGCCTAGTACAGAGCTGTGAGCTTCTTGCCCTGGTGGGTTGTCAACCCTTGGGTAACTAATGGGATAGGAGTGACAGAAGTCATGACCTCTGAACCAGCCTTGAAACAAATTCATCTTACATGGAAATTCTACAGCACAGAACACTCAGTTATCCAGAGACAGAGGATGTCTAACTCAGAGCTTATTCTCAGATACTTAATTATTTTAGGAAACAAGTCCTTGTGCCGTAGCCTGCCACGGGACAGGAAGCATGAGCACAGGTACCTTTGTGGATCATGGCTAAATTTTCTAACCTGTTAGAAATCCTTAACATTTTAAAATCGAAAACACAGCCAAAGAAATTTTGAGGACGTGGTTCCATAGTGTAGCGAGCGGTTAGCACATCTGCTTTACATGCAGAAGGTCCTGGGTTCACGTCCCAGTAGAGCCATGATCCATGGTCTGCGGCCATGCCACCCTGTACAAGCCCGATGTCTGATCTCGGAAGCTAAGCAGGGTCGGGCCTGGTTAGTACTTGGATGGGAGACTGCCTAGGAAGACCACGTGCTGTAGGC